CATTAGCACCTCTAGTAATATATTTACTGAGAAAAATGTTGACGTGTTCAATACTTATTTTACCCACTGTATGTGTGTGTGTTTTAATATATAATTGTTTAAAGCAATAAATTAATAAATAAATGAAATTTTGGCACATAAATAAAAACACCACTAGCACAGAAACCTRTATACCATGGGTGTCAAACTTGTTTTCACTGAGGGCCACGTGAGCATTTTGGTGGCCCACAGAGGGTCAGTTGTTAGCATTTTTCAWGTTTAAACACAAAACGTTCCTCATCTCATTGCTACRACTGGRCACAGCTAACAAACCATAACTGAGAGCTACGTGGTATTACCTGTAYAGAAACAGTGTTWTAGCACATCCTCTTATAAACTCTAAGCATGTGGTGTCCAAAGTCAGTTCTCGAGGGCCKGTGTCCTGCATGTTTTAGGTGATGCTCTGGTTCAACACAGCTGAACTTAAGTAGTGCTTWATTAGTAGGCCTCATCAGCAAGGTCTGCAGAGGCCGTGTTGAACCATGAGCAGCTTCTAAATCATGCAGGACACCGGCCATCAAGGACTGACTTTGGACACCACTCCACTAAGCATTACTATGTGTACAACAGACTAAATGTGAAATAAATAATACAGAAATACTTTTAAGCAATAAGCTCCTCACAATAAATTAATAAAGAAAAAAAGATGTAGCTTGATTTTGATCTAAAATGTCAGGGAACTGTACCTGGTTTCCAGAAGGAAAGGTGTCGTGCTCCATTTGGCTTTAAGGCTGGCAGTGACACCTTTAGGTGTTGATGTACCTGGACGTACATTCAGCAGCAGCAGTGTCATCAGCARAACGTTTTTCATTTTCGCACTTGAACACACCATCAGCTCGGCTCCTGTCTTTAAAAGGTGCCAGTCAGTGCCACGTCGTAAACTATTATTACATGCTTGTAAACACAGGCGTCAAAAACCTCTTGCGAGTTCTGATTGTGCCAGATGTTAGCAACACGACAGCACCATGTTTTATTGTAARAGGCTTAAAAAACATAACGGGTTCGACATAAGAAGAGTCAACTAAACATGAAGTTMACTTAGCGCCAGACTAAAATATGCTCTGTTGTAAGTGAAATAAAGCGATCAGTGTTGTTATTTCAACAACATGTGCTACAAAACGCGGGTTGCCACAAACATTATGTGTGTGCATACAAGTAGCTACATAGCTGTTGTGTTACTAATAAAACAGTTCTCACCCGGCTGGTGATGCTGACCGCTTCCATACAAAGCAAAGGGGGCCTCATGGAGGTATTTTGGGCAGCTAGCAGCACAGCTAGCGGGTTACGAGAGTCGTAAATAGACATCAGCTCGGCGTTATTCGTGTCTTACACATTAATAAAAATAATAATAAAGCATTGCGTATTTATAATGTTTCTTAACGAGTTCACATGGATACAAGACGTAATAATTAGTATTTTATTAAATAAAASCGACCGATATTTTGCGAATCCTTCAGGCACAGCGGCGGACAACTAAACWAGTTGTAGATAACGAACAAACAGATTTTGCCTAAACACTAACGCATGTTTTAGCTCTACTTTTACGCTTCAAAATGAAGCGTGATTGTAAATTTGTGCAGCCTGGAACTTCCTCCAGCATGAAAACTCTAAAATAAATATAAGTAACAAATGGATGTAATTCATGTAACTGTATCATTAACAAGAACAATCTTTTCCTGTAGGCCTACTGTTTGTATTGTTTTGTCCAAATTTGTGTACTTGAATGGACTTGTGTCGTAAATTAGWCAAATATAAAGAAACAAACCTCAGAATGAAGTTGCACTGACATGTGAATTTATTTTTCTGGATTTTATTCAACTTGTGTAAAATTATGTTATTGTTATTATTACTAATGACATCCAGGTGAGTGGTCTCCCCACGTGATCAAATAGCAGTGGTGGGCAGCACTAATCTACAAATTAGCTCCACTTGCCCTAAGACACTTGCTCAGATATTTAGGTCCCCTAATTCTAAAGCACTAATACACTGAAAGGTTTACAAAAACTAATTATAAAGCACTAAAATAACCCAATCAACCCATGACATTCTTCAACAGATGACATGAATCACATGTTGCTCTCTTAAGACTTATTATTGACATCCCCCAGCCAAATTTGGGTTCATATATTGTCAATATATTGTCACCTAGTGCAGTGGTTCCCAAACTTTTTRTCTTCTGACCCACAAAATATTCATGCAAAAACTTGTGACCCCAAATATTACTAGTCTGAGTACACGAACTTCATTAATAACCCTAAACACAGGCTTTTTGACAATCTAAACACCTTGTACACAAATATAAATACTTATTTTTACTTATTTTGTGTTTTCTAATAATTATAGGAAAAATACTACATCAGCAATTATTTTATTACCCTTTAAATTGATTTCTGGAGATTATCCAAGGTGCTTCATGGCTCATAATTGGGTCCCAAGCCCAACTTAGGGAACCAAAGTGCACTGGTTCCCAAACTTTTCAGCTTTTGACCCACAAAATAACAGTAGCAGAGACCTGTGGCCCCAACTGTTTCTGGATGATAAACATTTGTATCAGGTCAACTAAACATGGGCATGGTAACAATATTTTTATACTACATTTATCCATTTTAAATACACTAACCTCACTCCTTTGTAACATGCAAAAATGTAATTAATTCAAAAAATCTTTTCAGGACCCCACCTTGATGTTTCCGGACCCCACTTTGGGTCCCGACCCCAACTTTGAGAAACACTGACCTAGTGGATAAGTGACACACATGTGAACAAAATGTGTGACAGCTTTCACCATCAGTTGTTACCATTAACGTTGATCAATAACATTTACAGACCAGTGCTTCTAAATTTAGCCTATAAATTTAGCAAGTGCTAATCCACTAATCAATTTTAAAATTACCAGAAGCCTTAAAGCACCAATCAGGAAATTAGTTCCCCTATTAGTGCTTCATGGGGAACTGTGCCCACCACTGGTGGGTAGATGGTGCATAAATGTATAGGTAGGTAAGTAGGTGGATAAAGTGAGTTTGTGTTTATTTGTTTGACTGTAAAATTTCTCATGAAACACCAGGCAAATGTCAATCTAATTATCCGAAAGTAAATTTATATTTATATTTAACTTCTGGAGCAATTTAAGAAGGCCTCCATCCATATGACCTTATACAAATACAAAAAAAAAAAAAAGCCAACTTTACCCATATTGATGTAAAATTGGTCGTGTATATTGATTACTTCCTGTTGGCATATTCAAATGTCATGAATGCGATTCTGGAAGAAAAAAAAGTTACAGATTTCAGAGGATTTAGGTTYATCGTGTTTATAGACTTCAGGTTAAGGGATGGGATGTGACGGGATGTGGTGGGATGCAGAGCTCTCCCAGTCCATGACGAGCGCATAACGCACATTACTCTGTCTGSTCGGATGCAGCAGCATCCTCTTAAAAAAAAGAAGCTGCGCTTCAGCTCAGCTCGGAGGCAGAGAGTCAGCCGGTTTGGGAAGGATGGCGCACCTCCGTCCGCGGACTAAAAACGAACCGAACCAGTCCGGGATCGTCCTCACTGCCTGGGATCAGTTGTGAGACTGAAGCAGGACTGAAAACTAATTGCTTCATCGTTTTTATTTATTTATTTTTGTGTTTTTTGTTCGCGGATGCAGCAGCGCGCCGGCTCCAGAAGTTGGGATGCCACGAGTCTTGGATGTGGACCCCGCAGCGCAGACGGACTGTGTTGTTCCAATCAGGCGACCCCCTCTCTGATGTCTGCATGGAGGGTGATCAACATGTGGCCCTCAGATAAAAGGCACCTTTAATCCATCAGTGAGAGCCATGCAGACACACTGACCAGCAGCCCCGCGGGTGATACCGACTATTTACAGTAAAGGAATGAAAGCTCCTGCCTCGAGATGATGGATGATAGATCCAGTAAGCTCATTTTGGTGCCTATCCTAGCTGTCCTTTTCGTTATGATAGGTTACCAGTACATTTGTCCCGCGGGCAGTAATTCCTGCCACTTCAAGTCCGAGGAGCGGCTCCGCGGGGTGAGCCTGCTCCAGTCCCCGGACCAGGACGGAGACGATTTCTACCGGGACCAGGACCTGGACGAGGACGGCCCCCCGAAGCTGCCGTCCAAGTTCAACTTCACGGAGCGAGACCTGGACAGGCACGTGGAGTTCCACATCAAAGGSGACGACGTGATCGTGTTCCTGCACATCCAGAAGACCGGCGGGACCACCTTCGGGAGGCACCTGGTGAGGAATATCCGCCTGGAGCAGCCGTGCGACTGCAAGCCCGGCCAGAAGAAGTGCACCTGTCACCGGCCGGGGAAGGAGGAGTCCTGGCTCTTCTCCCGCTTCTCCACCGGCTGGAGCTGCGGGCTGCACGCGGACTGGACCGAGCTGACGAACTGTGTGCCCGTCATCATGGATAAGAAGGACGCCCAGAGGAATAAAAGGTAACAGTCTGTGTGTTTGAGCAGGAGATGTTTCCTGTAGGCAGTCATGCCTCTGACTCACAGGAAACTTCATCCCACTATTGAAAATAGTTTAATTCTTACAATTTGTGCTTCAGCTTTGCAAGAAAACACATGATTTGAGAGGAACCTGTAAAAGTGATCTCCTATTTTGAAAGAGTTCACCTTAGTTTTCCAAATATATTGATTTTGAAATGCAGGTATGCACTCAATGTAAACAATGCACTTTTACCTGCAGATTCTACGCAATAAATCTGAGCTTTAAAGTGTACAAATAACTTGATCAGACTTCTCCCGATCACCGTTACTGAACCCATTGTTGTAACACCTGGTTGTTTATACAAAAACCCATCCAAAGCCATCAATAAGAGAAAGCAATTGTGCAGATTTTGTTTCTTATTTTAAGATTTTTATTTATTTTTTAACCTGGTCCAATAAGTTGCTTTGGCTAAGATTCATATTTTTACTTCTGTGATTCAGTTTAGAGTCTAGTTTGCACCTTCATGCATGTGACCACTAATAAAGACCCTCAGGAGGGGGAGTGAAACCAGAAAAGAAGTCCAATCACTTTATAAGAAACAGACAAAAGAACAAGATGCTTCCTAGGATCCGAGTTGGGGGATTGATTCCCAGCCACAACTTTGTGTCAAAGTCAGCAACACACTGTGCCCCCCAGCTTATGTTTTTTTCATATGGCTGATAAAACCTGCTTTAAAAAACATTAGATGCATATTGTTGTTTAAGGAAGTTATTTGTTGGACAAACTCTTTTTATTTCTTGCGTTTTGGCTCCACCAGTCAGTTGCCGTGCGTGATGCCGCCTGAAAAGGAGAACCAATTAATTTGACGTTATGTTTTATACTGTTGTAACTGCAGCCGAAAGACGTCTGCAAAAATGTGAAAGAAATGCAACGCGAGAACTAAAGAGGCACATAGCAGCGCCTGCAGAAGCTACGCACTTAATGACTGTGTGCACACGTGTGGGTTTTCAGCCCTGTAAGCATCTTTGGGCTCACTGGTTTTGGAAATTACATTACAGCTCGTTAAAAGAGGACATTAAAAAGTCAATTTGTCGGTGCGGACGTCAAACAGGAAGAGCTGAAACGTCTCTCTGGGTTGTTGGACTGCAAGAGAGAGAGAGAAAAAAACACAATCATACAGTGAAGTGCACAAGCTCATGATTCATTATTTCTGCTGCGCCTAGTGTTTTTTTATTTTATTTTATTTTTTTAAACTCAGGAAAGTGCTTGCTGGATGCGACAGCTCGTCACTTCACAGCTGCAGCATCTGTTCTGCACTTACAGTCCTCTCGCCGCTTATTCTTCAGTGGCTGCATCTATTCTGAGGTTTGTCTTCCTCAAAGGAGGCTGTTGGCAGACACGTTGTGTCAGGTACCCTCTTTAACCAGCCGCTCCATGGAAGGCACGTTCACTTAGCGAGATGACTAATGGCGTTATGCAAATGTCATCTTCAGAACAGTTTTGTGTACGAGCAAAGCCRTCATTAAAACATCCACAAGGTCAAAGGGAAACTGAAGACATGCTGCCGGTCAGGCCAAAGTTTTAGAATAAAACAACTTCATTTGAAATCGACAAAGTTGTGGTCATTTTGGTCAAACCTTGAAATAACAGTCTCTTGTGATACTGAGACTCAGAGTGTGTGTTGYGAATGATTCTCAGCTACCACATCACATTTTTAGCTCAGTATCTGTAAAACTAAGTTACAGCAAAATTCACGAGGTATTTTACYAAGACAAACAGCATTAATGCCAAGAGTTAATCTTAACATTTTAAGCACAGATCATAGTTACACTTGTATTATTTTTTTGCGAATGACTCTCAGCTACTTCCACACCAAACTTTAGCACAATATTTGTAAAATTGTCTGATTTTAAGCTATTTTTGTGTTTTCTGAGTTTAGCTCATTATGGCAGCCATCTTGAATGGGTTTGGCTCCAAAAATTAATCAGCCGTAGATGCACAACCATTGCATATTTCCTGAATGKTTCGTGAAAATCCGTTCATTGATTCATAAGATATTTTGCTAACAGTCAGACAAAGTTGACTTCAAATATCTAATGGTAAAATTCAAAAGTAAAATCTTGTGCAGTTTGTTGGTGCTTAAAGTATGGGTTGGGGATTAGTCTCAGCTACTACCGCACCAAACTGTGGGTCATTCTCTGTAAAGTTGATTGATTTAAACAACTTTWATGTTTTTTAAGTTTAGTTGGTTATAGCAGCCATCTTGATTGGGTTTGGCTCCAGAAATTAATCAGCTGCAGATGCCCAATCACAGAGTATTTCCTGAGGTTTTCATGGAAATCTATGCAGTGGCTCCTGAAATATTTCGCTAACAGACAGACAAATTGACTGCAAATAGCTAACAGCAACATTTTAACTAAAACCATATGCAATTTSTTATTGTTTAATGTACCGGTAAGTGTTGGGGATCAATCTCAGCTACTATGAGACTGAAAGCTGAGCCARTATTTATAAAATTGACTGACTTGTAGTCTTTGTTGTGGTTTTTAGGTCAGGTTAAAAGCATGTCGAACCATGTTGACTTCAAATGTTAATCAGTTGTCGATGTACATCTCTTAATTACACTTTGTGAGTTTCACTGAAATTCATCCAGTGGTTCATGAGATGTTTTGCTAACAGACAGACACACACATAGACATGGGCGTTAAAAAGCATCCTTGCACACATCACGTGTTTTTAAAAATGGAGCAACGAAACACTTCTCTGCACCCGAGCCTGCACGTGTCCAACTCCGCTCCACCCTGGCCTCAGTTTGAAGGCGAAGTCCTCTCAGACTGGCTGAGTTTGTGAGCCGCCCGGCTCCTCAGGTGGCAGCAAGGAGAGGTCAAGGAACGCTGGGATGGCGTCCCCCCTGTGTGGCCTTTTCAGCCGAGCAGGACCCCACCGCAGGGTGATCTGGGCCCGCACGGGCCTGGAAAGGTCAGGCGTGTCAGGCCGGATCAGTGCGCGCGTCCTGCCGAGCCGCTCCTYCGGAGTGGGCTGTCAGTCAGGGGAGAAGTGAAACAGGCAGGTCGGCTCTCTTCAGGGGCTTCCCGGAGAAACAAACCTCTAAGTAGTGTCCTCTCCAGTCACTTTGTGGAGAGCTGGGTGGTGTTCCCGCTGCGCAGAAGCTCGGCTCATTGCACAGGTAGTTTTCCTCTCAGTAAAAGTCCAGGAATCTGAGCTGAACCGGTTCTGATTGTTACATCTTCATTATTTAACCCTCCGGACCAGAAACACTCATGTAGATATATCCAGCGTGACGCACAGGGCCTACGAAACAAGGAGCAGCTTTACAAAATTTATGTCAATGCAAAGAAAAGGTCTAATTTAATCACRTCTCCGGAAGACTGTGTTAAAAGAAATAAAAAGAAAAAAAAAAAGGCTGCACTTAGGAATCAGAGAAATATTTTATGCTGCTTCCCATTAAAATCCAAAACAAGCTCGTTTGGATTCTTTACTGCAACATTTTACAGGAACTTGCAGTTTATTTTGGCAAGAATGTTGACATAAAATGAAAGTATAACACAGTTGGTGAAAATAAATCGGATTCTAAAACACACAGCCTGCAGGCTTTACAGAGCCTCAAACAAAACAGTGACAGACTGCTGTTTGTTCAAAAGATRCATTTATAGATTTATGACTAATATCCTAGTTTTGAAGTCAGAAAACCTTTTTTAGTATAACAAACAAAAAGAGGAAATATTTGTCTTATTCCTACAACTAAAAATGAATACCTTTCTTTTTATTTAAAATATTTTGTGCACTGCAAAAACTGTCCACCAAGTCTTACAATCTTATATCCAGCCCAAATTTGATCCTGTTTTAAGACTGATATAATAGATTAGATAAATTATTATTAATAAATCTATTATCTGACTGCTCTGGCT